CCGCATATGCAGGTCATGCAGGCAATCAGGCAATCTTCCCGAAGGCGGAACTCACGGAGTCCGCCCTGTCCTGCCGAGCACTCTCCTAGCCGATTTAGCAACACACCAGCCGCCTACGGCGGTCGTGGCTTTTGAGCACCATCGAACTGCACCACATTTCTGCGGAAGTTGGTTCGACCTGCGGGCTCCCGGAGCCTGTCGCAAGAGTCTTGTTGCGGCACTCCCTGCCTAGGGTGGTTGATTTTCTCTACTTCCACCTCTTTAGCAAGGGCGCCACTCTGGCTGACTCGACAGAGGAGGGACGTCGCGAGCCACACCGGCAGGCTGCCTCTAGGGAACGCCAGGCAGCAGGGCGTTCCAGGGCTTCTCTGTCACCGTCACGGCATTGACTTGCACAAGCTTTGCCCAGTAAACCCAAAGCACCCTAAACAAGATAACATGCCTTAAACCGATGTCTGTCGGGTTTGAGCCGAAGTTTGAGCCGAAGTGGAACCCGGAAGCTAAACCGAAGTAACCACATGAAGTGAAGCGCATAAGAAAGATAACGAATGTCGTACTGCATGAAGTCGGAATCTGTCGCAAACTGGTGAAAGCCTCGGTTGCCCTTTCCTCCAGGGTGGAGTGGGCGGGTACACGAAAAGCTACAACTCCTTGAGAGTACTGCTTCGGACGGATGTCGATGTTCACAAGAACTCATCTCGCAAAAGGTGTCTCACAAATCTTCGTGGAAATTCTCATGTCAAGAAAATGTGTCGCAGATTGCAAAGCATTCAAAAGTCCCACCCAGGCCCGCCCCCCGGCACAAACCCCATCAGACATACTCTAGGTCCGGGGACCGAATAGCATGTCTGTCGGGTTTGAGCCGAAGTTTGAGCCGAAGTGGAACCCTGAAGCTAAACCGAAGTAACCACATGAAGTGAAGCGCATAAGAAAGATAACGAATGTCGTACTGCATGAAGTCGGACTTTTGGGCAGTGTGTGGAGACTGATCTGTCGCAAACTGGTGAAAGCCTCGGTTGCCCTTTCCTCCTGACTTTAGAGCAACAGAAGGTGATCACCAGCTTGTCTTGTCCTCAGTCCGCTGCCGCTTGCTGACCTTCTCGCCCTGGATGTACTTTCCGGCAAGCGAAGCTCGAGCATCTTCAAATGAGGCGCGAGCAGCGACCAACATGTCAAGCAAAGAAAAATCAAGCTCGGACAACTTGAAAGGTATTCGCTTAGATGTCGTGAACTTCTCGAAACGAAGATTCGTCAAGTCATCAGCTTCCACATTCTCCTCGCGGGGTCGCCACTGCAAACGACAAATCTTGCCACAGGAATGAAGTCGTGATACCATCTGCATGTGGACTGCCTGCACAGGCCATTTGTTGCTCAGACCCTTTTCTTGAATCGCAGGAGTGGAACGGTTGTCAGTCCCAGCAGATACGACGACCCTCAAGTTGTCGCGAGCCTCGCTTGCTTCAAGATGTCCGAACACTTGCAGAGCAGCATAAGATGCAAGAAGCTCCGCCGTTGTTGATGCCCACTGGCTCGACCCATCAGCCTTAAAGAGCCAGGGAGCCTGCTCAGGCAAAACTTCCAACGCGAACCACGGCGCATCCTTAGAGCTAAGCCCAGACTGCAAAGACCAACCTGCGATTACCACTCTCCCAGTTTCGCATTTTGCATCAGTACGAAAGGCTTGACGAGGACCGGGCCACGTCTGCAGAACACTCTCGAGGCGTGAACCCTTCTTGAGCTCGTTGCGTATGAAAGTGAGTGCGATGCACACCATCGCCGGTGCTCTGGCCACAGTCCCTCTATTCAAGACCGACTGGAAAGCGAAAAGCGGCGCCAAGAAAGGGCGCATCCACAACAGAAGCCTTGCCACAAAGTTGAGACGACCTGTCAGTTCGCTTAAGCGTCTGCCAGCCACCATCCAGCCTCCACTTTCGCAATCGTCGATCCAGCCGATGATCCATCCTGCACGACGCTCCGAAATACCTGCAGACCAGCCTTTGTACGCGATGTGGTATCCGATGAAATCAACAGTGATGCCACCTTTAAACTTCGCGTAAGAAAAAGGAGTTCCAATGACCTCGTACGCCAAGAGGGCCAGCCACAGGTTGTGAAATTTTCTCTCACCAGCCTGGACCAGATGAAGGTCATCAACGTATACGAGCTGCATGAGCCAAGCGATTCCCATCAAGCGGATGACCCAACGACCTACGCATCCGAACAATCTCGCCCACCAATAGGCGGACGAGCTTATACCGAATGTACAGACTGTATTGAGCCAGAGGACGCGTGATGTAGAAGAACTTCTGCAGCCCAGTCTCCCCCAGTCTTGACGACGAACTTTAGCTCGTCGGTGTGCTTGACTTATGTCCGCGCTAAGGGCGAAAACAGCTTCCTGATTCTCGGCAGCCACAGCTGTTGCTTCAGTGATTTCACTCGGTCCCGGAACGTGTAAAGCATCAAGTATGCGAATACGATTGTTCAAGCCAATGCCGTGAGTACCATCGTGAAGGGGACGGATGTCCCCATTCGGTTTCTTGATTGCTCCCATGGCTGCAACAAGAACTCCGTCCTCACCAAATTCCCGCTTGGCCTCTGCTTCAGTTGTGCAAATCATCAAGCCTTTGGCCTCATCCTCTCGGAAATGGGCCTCAAGCTGTTCAGCCGAAAGTTCAGCTGATTCGTAATTTTGCATAACCGCCTGGAAAGGTGTCTCATCAAGCTTGCGGTAGCGAACCCGGGATCGAAACACCTGGGGAGTTCGCGGTAGTGGCTTGTCCCATCCAATCGGCACTCCTTCAGCGAATGATTCGTCGCCCTGCACCAGGATGGCATGATCGGGGTCGCCCATCATCTCCAAAGACTGTGCCAATAAATAAAGGAAGAATGGCTGCCTCTCAGGGCAGCACATAGCCTGCTGAGGATCTGGCAATAATGCAGCGATCTTGCTTCTAGCCGAATGCAATGCCGAAGGAGAAAAGGGTGATTCCTTCACCTGCCCTGTAGCAAGTTTGAAAGACATCAACCGCACATCCGGAATCTCCTCGCGCACAATCTGGTTGAGGATGTCACGTATGCTCTCGCAATGTTCCAACTCCGCGGCAGAAGCAATCCGATTCCTCGCCTGAGGTCTCCACCGCCCGGGGGAGCACAGTCCGAAACCATCATTGAATGCCGCCTTGGCCGGATCATGCCTGCACACCAAAGGTGGCCCAAAGCATCGGCTAGTCGTGGGGTCAAAAGATTCAGCATCATCTTTCTGCACAGAAGCCGTGGCCTTCTCTTCTCCTTCACCTTCACTTGAGATAATCTCGACATGCTCGTGATCTGAATTAGCACCCACTGCACCTAAAGGCTCGTGCGACACGGGGAGAGCGGGTGCAACCGAACGAACCGGGGCCCCAGGAGTGGACCCAAACTACCTCGGGTGAAGACGGGATTACCTTGGAAGAAGAAAGAACTACCTCAAGAGGGGGAACTACCTTTCTCGAAGTTGTTACCTCGCTCTTAATCTCACTCGGAACTGCTTGGGCTGTCGGTTGCGAGGCCTTCGGTTCCCCTGCGCTTGCAAGGCCCGAAGCCGGCAGCCGGAAACCCAATGAAGCCAGGAAATCCTTATGGTGCGAAGACAGGGCATGCCACTGCGACACAGAGTATGCAATGAGCACGAGACGATCACCCTGCCAATCGAGTGTTGCATGCAATCGATCCCTGGCATCAAGGATTACTGGTCCGGAGGCGACCTCAAGACAAGTGCCCATGCGTGTGACACCATCGCAGCTGAACGGAACCGTGCCTGCAGGGTCCTCGCGCCATATGCCTCCGTTCCTAAAGGCACTGATTGGCACAATGAGATTCGTGCCAGTCGCATTTCTCGCATCTCGGTGTGGCTGCGTGGCCACATTCATGAAAAGAGCACATGATGTAAACTGAAAGTCGGATTTCACCTGATGCAGGAAGGTGCAAAGCACCTTTGTGGCATGCGGAAACTTGTGTGCATTCGCACGAACGCCAGCAATACCCCCCAGACTACACGCACCAGTAAAGAAAGCTGTGCCTGAGCTCGCCTGGGAACCAGCATGCGGCGGCTCATGCGGAAGCAAGCTAAACAAAGTCTCAATGTCACAAGCCTGAATAGCATGTTTTGCGAGTATCTCATGTGCAAACGCCTCAGCAGCATGTGGAAGCTCAGGCAATGCCGCTGAGTCCGTGGCAAATGCAGATGTTGTTCCCGACACTAACGCTCGTGCGATGAACTCACAGAAAGCTGAAGGGTAGCCGAAGGTAGAGCGCCAGGCAGTGCCGTCCCAGCCGACAGCAGCAGAATGATCGTGAACGCGGCACGGCTGTAATGGGCCGAGGTAGTGCCCACCTGAATCAAACGCCGGCCACTGGATGCCATGATGAGCCCATGCTTCCAGGTTCCCGGCGAGCCGCGTCGAGAACTGTGACTTCGCGCCAAAATGGCACAAATGCAGAGCGAAACTGAAACCGTTTTCCGATACAAGATTTCTCACCTCAGGCAGCTGCCAGACACTCGCAGGATGTGACCCGGAGGTAGAGACGCCCAGATCCTCAGGATGAATGAGCAGCCATGCACCGCCTGCTCGCGCCTGTAGCAATGCCGCCTGCAGACACTGTTTGACATGAAAATTTGCAACCGAAACTAGTTCCCTATCAGCATTGCGCAACCAAGGGAAGCCCCACGGGTAAGAGACATCGCGCATGGGTCTTGGACCATTGCGCCCAGCATGCCTGGTGCGAGCACGCGAAAAAGTGGATGCCGGTGGGGTAAGCAAAACAACATCCCACGACCCAGTCTTGATCTCCGAGAAGAGAACATCCCAGAAACCCGGATCACTGAGGTCCGAAGCTGGTTCGCGAGCCATATCAAATTCGGCCATTTGCAACTCGAAGTTCTGCTGAACCGCCAAGCTCGATAGCCATGCATGCACATCCCCCTCGTGAGAAGGGCCGGAGAAAACATGAGCGATACGCAGAAGTCAGTTCGCCGAACCACTGTCCTTCTTGTCATCCTTGATGCTCAACTTGGCAAAGTGCTCCCAAAGCGGATGCGGCTGGTTGCAACCCCGAACTCGGCAAACATGAACCCTCCCGCAGCCGCCAGAGCAGCCCTGGGCGTTGTAGGCGAAGCAGATCTCACGACCATCCGCCGTATGGCTCATCAGAGAATAAGCCGACTTGTCGCCCTTCGTTCCATTGCCTTTGTCCTTGGTGCCCTTCTTGCCACCTTTGGAGTCTTTGCCCCAACCCTTGGAGTTGGGGGTACCTTTGTTGCGGATCCACTTGCTTGCCTCCCATGGTGCATCTGCTGCCCACTCACGTTTGCTCCCAGCGTAATTTTGCAAAGCAATCGGTGAGGTAAAGAACTGCTCTTTGATTTGAGAATCCCGAACAACTGAAAGCAAGGTTCCACCAGCGGTTGTGACCCCTGATAGGCCCTCTTGATGGCTTCCTTCCGCAGTTCATGCTCGTACGTCAGCAGCACCTGCCACGGCGGGCGCACCGGTGTCTGATCACTTCCTTTCCCCGCCTGAGAAGGGACCGGAATCTTCATCAAGTACACTTTCTCACCCAAGAGGTAATTCACATATTCCGCCCAAGGAGCAGGTGACATATCTTTGAAGAAGGCTTTGTTGCGGAAGCGACCCGCCATGAAGCAATAAGTATTGGCCTCAATTCGAAGCACCGTACGGAGCTCCTCAGTGGTCTGGGGCATTGCCCCCCGCTGCTTCTGCTTAACGATCCTGACGGCCCCTCCTTTGTCAACAGTGGTCTGCAACCCTTGTGTGCGGACGGCCTTCTTGCTGGTGACCTCATTGAGCGGAGATGCTGTGGGCTCCACATTCTCGAACTCCTCAACCTTGGCCGCCAGGTAATCATCCGACGGCTCGAAGGCCTCCTCAACAGTGCCGTGTGTGTTCTCGTACGCAGCTTTCATAGCTAAGCGCTCATTTTGCAGAACCGGTCGCACTATACCCAAGAATTTAGTCTCCGCGCGGAGCTCGGCTTCCTTAACAGCATAGTCCCTGCAAGCTTCCCATGCCGCCACCACGGCAGCCACCGCTGCCCTGTTGTTCATGTCAGTGGCCTCCAAGCCGATGTCAGCACGCAATGCAGTGCGCACTCCAGGCCTATCATCAGCATAAGCCGCAAACCTTCGCACATTCTTGAAGGCCTGTGTAATCCTGTACTGCACTGGCAAAGGAACCCCTGCGTCTTGCAAAATGTGCGCTAAGTCGGCACTCACCTCGGTCGAGATGTATGTGAGCGCCGCGCCCTCATTAACGCCTGTAGGAAATTCCATGACTGCGCAAGCGAACACTACCCCCTCGGCACTCCGGAAAACTCTCGAGATGCAAAACAACATTCACTTGCAAAGTGGCAGTACTCAACACACATGCGAGCGGCAACTGATTGATTCATCAACTGAGAAGCCTCTGATCTTCGGCTCTCACTCCCTTTTGCGATCTCCGGCTCGCATCTTAACTCACTCACCCTCTTGATCTGCGGGTGGATCCACACTATCTGATCCAGAACTACTGGATGCTGGCCGACTCTGATCTGTTGGCCGACACCTCTTGCACACTGCATCTGCAACTGAATCTGTAACTTCGAAGATCGGGATCGTCTCCCTGCAGCGTTCCTGCCGCACGGCACAAGAATGGCTCGTATGGAGCCTCCGGAAACCTGATCTCGAGACTGTGACAAAATAAGGTGCTGCCACTGCCGGTCCAATCGTCTCCTCTGGAAGTTTGGCCCGAGGATCCCCTTTGGCCTGCTCCAAAATCCCAGGAGACATGCTAATCAAGGGGAATGTGCCCCCCAAGGCCCATGAGCCTCTCTCTTCATCCCACTCCAAACATTTCAATTGACGCTTGAGTTGCAGTGGTGGTCCCCCTCGCTTGACATAATATTCTTGAATCTCATTCAAGCTCTCCTCCTCAACGATCCCCGGGGAAGGCACCCCCTCGAGAATCGCCCGACATGTGGTAGACTGCACATGATGCACAACTTGTCGTGACGTAAGCACATAATCTTGGCTGCCATGCTTGGCTGCAGACCATCTCCCAAGGTAGTCGCGAGGCTCCTTGGCCACGCCTGCCGCCGCCGCCAAACTCGGCAACGTGTGCCTTCCAGAATGCCCTGTGAAATACGGCACAACAGCTTCAGGAAGCATGCGTGAATCACGACTGTAAGTCCACTTGCCTGACTTCTTAACTGGCATCGGCAGCTCCTGAAGCAGCTTGCGTATGTTCAAAGCGACCTCCTCACTGTCGATGAAGGTTTGATGAGCAGTGTCCCTGTCACCGCAGAAGCGAACACACAGGAAGTCCCGCTCAAACTTGAGTGCTTCTGAATTCACCAACCGGTAGCCATGACCGATCCAATCGAATCCAGAAAGGCTAATACCTCGCATGACAAACGCTTGTAGCCTGCCAACATGTTTCCCTGCACCTGATGTTTTCGTCCTGTCCAGGGTCATCTTAAGCCCAAGCTGTGACAAGGTAATGCTCGCCGGGTTGATATTCTGAAGATCATCTACGCGCAAGGTGGCCCACACCTGAAGGAGGACCACGAAGGCATAAAATCTGCTCCACGTATCAGCTGAAGTGTTGCATACCACAAGCTCACACGCAATCAAGACAATCACCGGAAACATGGGTGCTTGCTTAACTGGCGCCGATTCCTGCTCGAGCTCAACCTTCCAAGAGCGAACACCCTCAATAAGCAGAGTATCCTCACTCAAGCGATCGGGGGCATCCACCTGACCAACCTGCTCCAGGAGGCCCAGTGAAGAGAGAACTGCCCCCGGGACAGTCTTGCCCAATGGTGAAATCTCATGCCTCTCTTCAAGGTATTGTAGAACGACTTCTGCCGACTGAGGCCAGCACACCGAATATGTAGCCTGTAGCCACTCCGCCAGCTTGTGCCACACCACAGCACGATTCTTTAAAGTCTTTGCTCTACGAGATCCAAAGGCACGAACCCAAGCAGCTTCCGGATTGCTCATAGCATCGATACGTGAGGCCGCAGGCAAACCCGCCTCACGGATGACCGTCGCCAGTTCCAGGATCCACCTCTTGCGACTGACCTCTTCCCTCGCCTGACGGCTATTGTCTGTGCCCATTCTCCTCTGACGCAATGCTTGTTCCAAGATGCGTACACCAACTTGTGGATTCTTAGACACCAAAGACTCAAACTCAGCACCGACATCCTTCTTTGGCACAGCCACCCGAGTGGCCAGCGTCTTAAGAGTGCCTGCACGGAAAGAGACCTCGCGCTTGACCCTCGGCTCAGCCTCAAGACTCCACTGACGAAGCTTGCTTTGTCCTTGCAATGCATCCTCCACCAAATCAATGGTACTCCCTTCGTCAAAACACGCAAGTGCAAGATTGCAAGGATCACTGAAAACTTTCTGCAGCTTTCCGCAAAGAGTATTATCAATCTCACTGACAGCTTGCCACTCAAGAGCCAT